GCACTACTTCACTGTCAGGGCAGCTAGGATCTGGAACCACCTTCCAAGTGAAGTGGTGCTGGCTCCTACCCTGGGGGTCTTTAAGAGGAGGCTAGATGTACACCTTGCTGGGGTCATTTGACCCCAGTACTCTTTCCTGCCATGGCAGGAGGTTGGACTTGATGATCTGCTCAGGTCCCTTCCAATTCTACCAACTATAAAAGTATAAAGATACTAAGTAAGAACTCTGATTATTGGTTGCATTGCAGACACTGCATTACAAGAATGGCTATTATATGAAAGAGAACTGTGTTCCTCATAAAAGATTATCCAAATGCACAGAGCAGCAAAAACTGTGAAGGCCCAGGTTATAGAGTTGACCACAGCAAAAACAGCCATCCATGCAGTAGGTATAAAATTAGGTGGCCAGGAAAGCCATCACATTGGGTGAAAATTTTTCATCTCCCAAAAAACAAAAATCTGAAAGTGCATGCAGTTGAGAAAATACCAAAATAACTGTATACAGCTAACATAGAATCAAGCAAAATTAACAAGATTTTGCTAGTGGAAGTGCAAGGAGCACTTGTTTCATTTAAATTGGTAACTAGAGCTTAGGTTAGTGTTTCACCAGAGCATGAATCTATTTGCGAAATCCAAAAGTCATCCCTAACCACAAAAGCTGAGAAGAAAAGAAGTCATCACAGACATGCAGCTGACACCCCTGGTTTAACGAACAAGCAACAGACATTGCAGGTGCTACTATACAAGATGAGTGAGAGAAAAAATACTTTGGAGGGGACAACTTCTGTACAACAACAAGGCTTTGGTACACATCCAACAGAGCCCTGGCCTCCTCTTTCTCGTGCTCAGCTTGTTTGGCCACTAAGCTGACTCGAGCACCTAAGGATTGGTAACATCTCAATATCTTCAGGGGTGTGTGTGTGTGTGAATGTGTATGTTAATATGTGTCTATAAATATGATTCAAGCACTAAGAATATAATGGCTTAATAGTTTGTGTTTTCAATAAACCCGGTGGCATATTGCCTTAACTTCCTGTAAAAGATCCTGCTTGTCTTTCTTTTTACACCGTATGCCTTGTGCACACAACATTAAGAGGTTCTGAGAAAAAAGCTACCACCCCAGGTGTGGAAAGCTTAATCAGAACCTGAGACACAGAGGGTGTAGGGCCCCACACCATGGTCTCAGAAGTCCAGAATCCTTACTGAGGCTGCAATCTAAACCTTTGCAGCCTTGGGAAAAGAGCTCCAGACTACAAGGGATAAAGGAAGAATAGCAGCAACCCTGCACTGAATTTATATCATTTATGTTGTGTATTTCTTTATATTACTGTGTAAGATCAGGGCACTGGAAGGAGCTGTGGGAAATACCAGGAGAGGTATTGTCACTGCATGGAGAGATGATGTTGGTATAAGACTGTAACTGGAGAATAGGGCCTGCAGTCTAAATGACAGAGAGAAAGTGCATGCAGCCAAAGGACTGAGGGAGAGGGCCTGACACTCAGGAGGGCACAGAGTGAAAGAGCGTAAAGCCCACAAGACTGTGTGATAGGGCCTAAGACCCTGATAATCAGGGATCCTGGTTTTCTGTGATAAAAAAAATCACAAATTCTCTGCTAAAAATCCCCAAATCCGTGGTTAAAATTAAATGCTTCCCACATCCCCCCCACAGCCCTGCTGGTGGCCCTTACTCCCCCTGCCACAACCCCCCAGCTCTGCTTGTGACCCTTGCCCCACCACGCACAGCCCCTTTCCCACAGCCCTGCTGGAGGGGGCCCCTAGCTGCTAGGGCTATGGGGCCAGGGACCCAGGTCTGCAAAACCCTTTCCCCAATGGAAGGCAACAGCTGCTACAGCAGGAGCCAGCTCCCCCCTTGCTTCCAAATAGATCTGGGGGGCATGCACTTCTGGAGGTCAGGGGGGATCCATGCCCCCAGATCTGTTTGGGGGTGGGGTCAGGACGGATGTGAGCTGCCCCTGTGCACACAGAGGAAGTGTGGCCAAGGCAGCATGGAGTTTGCAGTGGCAGGCAGCTTTTGTGCTCTGCTGTTTCTCCCCACTGTGCCCTGCCATGCCAGTCACACATACTGCACTATGGAGGGCTTGGGGGACAGCAGCAGGGCAGGGAGTGCAATGTTTGCAACCCAGGGTTTGCAACTGGCCAGGGACTCTGGCCATGGGAGGTGGGGTTTGCAGTCCCAGCTTCCAGTTGGCTGGCCAGCTGCAAACCCCCACTCCCAGCCATAAAGTGCCCAAGCTGGCTGGAAGCTGAGGAAGCAGGGGAGGCTGCAAACCCCTAACCCCCCTGTGGCCAGAGTGTCCAGCTGGCTGCAAAACTCCCCACTCCCTCTTCCCCCAGCCAGCTTAGGCACTCTCCTACCAGGCAGTCTGGCTGGGAATGGGGATTTGCAGCTAGTTGGGAGTGGCAGAGGTTTGCAGCAGGCCAAGCACTCTGTCCGGGAGCAGGCAGGCTGAAAACCCTTTCCTGGCTGGAGTGCCTGGCCAGGAAGTGCCCAATCTGACTGTGGGATGAGGGAGTGGGGAGGTTTGCAGCTGGCCGGGCACTCCAGGGAGGAGTTTGCAGCCTGCCCACTTCTGGCCAGAGTGCTTGGCCAACTGCAAACCTCCCCACTCCCTCATCCCAGATTGGGATGAGTCAGATTGGGCACTTCCTGGAGTGCCTGTCCAACTGCAAACCACCACTGCTCCTGGCAAGCTGCAAACCCTCCCTCCCAGCCAGAGTGCCTGGCCAGAGAGCACCCAACCTGGCTGGGGGCTGAGGAGCAGGGAGGTTTGCAGCTGGATAGGCACTCCAGTTTGCAGTTGGCCGGGAGCGGCGGGGGTTTGCAGCCAGCTGAACACTCCAGCTCAGCCAGCTGCAAACCTGCTCCTGGTCAGAGTGCCCAGCTGGCTGCAAACCTCCCCACTCCCTCCGCCCCTAGCCAGCTTCCTCCCCAGCCCTGCCCCACAACCCCCAAGTCCCACTTACCTCCAGCAAGAGAAGTAAGCCTGAAGTATCCTCCAGTAAATACAAGTGTTGGACCCCACCCTTCCTCCTCTCTCTTCCCCTCTGCGCAGGGATGAGGGTTTCCCTCCCCTTTTGCTAACAGCTGTTGTAGACTGGAACTCTGCCAGCCTACAGAGCTCTTTGCAAAAGGTTGAAATCCATGGTTTTCTCTGTTTTTCTGTGGGAAATGGAAAACCTGGATCTCTGCTGATAATGATCAGAGTGGAGTAGGCAATCTGGGCATCTATACACATACTCCAGGGTGCACATATAATTAGAGTGACTCTTGAGAGCATAACTTCTGTTTCTGAAGGCAACCTCCTAATGGATAAAGAAATTTGAACATGAAAGATGTGGCAGGTGAGGAACTGAGTCTAGTTCTAGTAAAGTGAAGCAGGGATAATGACCTAGTTTGAGCACAAGGGGGTACTACATGCACCCCTGGGCAGCATTAGGAGTACACAGATATCCACTGCTAACATCCAATATAAAAATAAAGTATACAAACCACCAGGGGTGTTCCTGGAGCGGGGGGAGGATAAGGGTGAGCACCCTGAGCCCTGAGCTTTGAGGGGTTCCACGGAGCTGGTGGAGTGGCTGTGGCAACTTCATGCCACCACCACCAGCTTTGCATCCAGTAGAGACTGCTGGAGGCAGTAAGCTTCATGATGGCAATGGCCACATGTTTCTCCAGAGTGAGCGGTGGCTAAATGTCAATGTCCTGGTGCTCAGTGTGGGGGTCATCTGGGTTGCAATGCCCATGAAGGTGGCCCAGTGCATGAAGAAGATCTGTATCCACTTTTGATCACCCCAGGTGTCCCAGATGATCCACTGCTACCAGTCACTGCTGGTGGTGTAGGCTCAGAACCCACGCTTAATGGTCTGGAAGGGGTGCCAGAGCACCTTGGTGTCCATGGTGTCCTGGATGATCTTGTTTTCATCAGCCACCTGGAAGTCATTGCCTCCGTCCAGGATGCTGGGTAAGCACAGGTTGCAGTAGGTGTTCCTGTGTGGAAAGTCAGGGGCAGGAAGACATGTCCCATGGCAATCATTTGCTGCATCATGTCCAAATGGCTGTGGGTGATGTACTACAGCCTTCTTCGAGAGTCATTTAGGGTGGGAAGTGGGACATGTCACAGCTTCTGGATCTGCATGCTTGGGCACGGGTGGTGGAGTGCCATGGTGGGGTGTGGGCAGGCTGGGACACAGAGGCATGTGCAATTCACAAAGAAGGGCACCCACTGGGGCTCTTCTGGAAGCCTTACAGTGGGGCATGGAGGAGGGTTTAGAGTGAGGCAGCAGGGGTTTGGAAGCATGGTTGCCCATACCCAGCAGCCAAACTGGCAGGGGTGACCTAGGTGCTTGGCTATGCTTGGCAGTCTCCAGCATCACAGGGAGTCCTCGGGGCTTTCTGGGTTGTGTGAAGGAGCACCTCCCCACACACACCTGTGGGCCTTGACCAGCACAGGCTACTTGTGCACTTCCTCTCCTATGCCCACCCCCACCCTCCAGATGGCAAAGGTATATACTGCTGACTTCCAATCTAAACAAGGACACTTATTGAAAAGGGCATAATTTAGATCAATTCTTCCCCTGTTTGGGGGTGGAGAGGGGGAGTGACTCTAGATTTTGGGCTCTGCCCTGGGACTACATCTTCACCTGGCTCTTTGGCTGCCAGGGGCTGGTGCCTGGAGCTCAGCTCAGTGCTCTCCCCATTACCAGTAAGTGTGTGTGTGCATGTTGGGGGGAGTACAAGTTGGAGAGGGGGAGAAAGGGAGGGAGGGACAAGAGAAAGAGAAGTACACAAAGGGTCACGGAGGCAGGAAGGAGGAAAGGTCTGGGGAGAAGGGGAGTGGTAGCAGGGAGTGAAGGGAGAAGAGACATGCTGAGGGAGGGAGGAGAGAGGAGAAGGAAATGGAGTAAGTGGTGGGGTGTGAGGACAGAGGAACTGGGAAGGGAGCGACTAGGAGAGGAAGCATTTGGAGAGCAAGAGGGGAATGTGTGTAGAGGGGGCCTGATGGAAGCAAGAAGAGACTGCCCCTGTTCAGCCTCTCGCTGACATCATGGTCAGACAGCAGCACACACAAATGCCAAAATAGCAGCCTGAATCCAGAGCAGCTGCACACACATGCAGACACACAAACACATACAGGCATACAGATACACACGTTGCACACACACTTCTCACAGAACAGCTCAGTTTTCTCCCTGGTTGGCAGCAGCCTCCAGCTCAGCCCTCCTCCTTCTCCTCCTCTTCCAGATCTCTTGCCCAGCAGAGCCCCAACCACCCACATTCCTGGCTTCACTAACTCTATTTCCCCATGGACAGTCCTGGGGCCCTACTTCTCCCCACTGCTGACCAGCAGGCAGGAAGAGCAGCACAGTGCTGGGG